CCTCATTAGCTAAAGAGGCCTTGTGTACTGCCCAGGCGTGCATGAAGACGTGGCATGACAGAAGGGCTGTGAAAAGGCATTTTCAGGCTGGGGACAAGGTTTTAGTGTTGCTACCGGTGCCTGGTTCTGCTCTTACGGCCCGTTTCGCGGGACCGTACGTCATAGTGAGGAAAGTGTCTGAGACAGATTATGTTCTCAGTACCCCAGAGCGCAGGAGGAAAACACGCCTGTGCCACATCAACATGTTAAAACCCTACCATGATAGGGAAACCCATGAGACTGTTGCCAGTGCGGCAACCTCCAGCTCTGTCTCCGCCACCGTGCTGAGTGTAGAGGCCAGTGCTGACGACGATCTGCATATACTTTCTGAGGGACAACAGTGTGGACGGTTGGCGAATTCAGCTTACTTAGCCGAAGTAACGGCCCACCTGTCTCATCTGTCCCCTTCACAATGCGAAGATGTGCTTAATCTACTGCACTCCTACCCTCTCTCTTTGGTGATGTGCCCTCGCGTACTAATGTTTGTGAACATGATATCGATGTTGGGGACGCAACCCCAATCAAACAGCACGCGTACCGCTGCCCTATGGGAAAGCGCGAGGTGATGAGGAAGGAGGTCAGTTATCTAGCGGAGAATGGTTTGGCGAAACCGAGTCACAGCCCTTGGAGCTCTCCATGTTTACTTACGCCCAAGTCTGATGGCACCCCACGTTTCTGCACCGACTACCGTAGGGTAAATGCAGTGACTGTCGCCGATTCTTTTCCACTTCCTCGTATGGAGGACTGCATTGACAACATAGGTCCTGCCACATTTATTTCCAAACTGGACCTTCTTAAAGGATATTGGCAAGTGCCTTTGACCCCCAGAGCCTCTGACATTTCTGCATTTGTCACACCCGACCATTTCATGCAGTACACCATGATGGCGTTTGGCATGAAAAACGCTCCGGCCACATTTCAGCGGTTGATGCAGCTGGTTGTAGGAGACGTGCCTCAATGTAATGTGTACTTGGATGATGTGGTGATATACACAGCCACGTGGGAAGAGCATGTGGCCATCCTACGATCAGTATTTCAGCGACTGGCTGACGCCTCGTTGACTCTAAATCTCGCTAAGTGCGAGTTCGCCAAAGCGACAGTCATGTACCTGGGGAAACAGGTGGGTTTCGGGCGGTACGCCCAGTGGAGGCAAAAGTCGAGGCTATCCTCAGCTACCCGGCCCCAGCCACTAGGCGGGAGTTAAAACGGTTCCTGGGCATGACTGGATACTACCGCTGTTTTTGCAAGAACTTTGCGGTAGTTGTGGCCCCTTTAACAAGGCTATGTAGCCCCAAAGTCCCTTTTGAGTGGTCAGGGGAATGCCAGCACGCATTCGAGTCTGCAAAATCCCTCCTTTGCAGCGCCCCAGTTCTGGCTGCCCCTAACTTCTCTCAGCCTTTCAAGCTGGAAGTCGACGCCAGTACCACCGGAGCTGGTGCGGTGCTATTACAAGACGACGCAGAGGGTGTGTGTCACCCAGTCTGCTATTACTCTGTAAAGTACAAGCGCCATCAGCTAAACTATTCCACCATAGAGAAAGAGGCTCTAGCGATGCTGATGGCCTTGCAGCACTTCACTGTGTATGTGGGCTCTAGCTCCTTTCCAGTAACGGTGTATACAGATCACAACCCCCTCACTTTCCTCCAGCGCATGTACAACCACAACCAGCGACTAATGCGCTGGGCATTGCTGGTGCAGGATTATGATCTGGTTATCCAGCACCAGAAAGGGACTGAAAATCTGGTGGGTGATGCACTCTCACGCAGTGCATAGTGATGGGTCTATTCTGTGTTTTGTATAGTGTGGATATAGGGTGGGGGGAATGTTACATCCTGGGAGGCTGTGGGAGTGTGTGGGCGTGGTGTTGTCTTCTCCCTCTCCTCCTCCTTCGTTCTGGCCCCTCCCCTTGTCTCTCTCTGCCCCTGCCCTCTCCTTTAGGTCACACCTGCTGCTCATCTGCTCTCATTACAACCAATTACCCTCAGGGGTGATATAAGCTGGAGAAGAGCAGTGTGGAGGAGGAGGGAGAGGTTTCTGGTGGATTTCCTCTGTGCTGGTCAGAGCGTGCTACTGGCTTAGGTGTGGAACAGCCTGCTGCGTATGACCAGCCTTCTGGTGTGTGGCTCTTTGTGAGTAGTGTTTATCTGAGCAGTGATTGCCCATGAGTGACGGCGGCCTTCATTAGTTTGTGTGGCCTGCCTGGATATTGTTTGTTAGCAGCGTTGCTGTCTCTTTCTGTTGAAACCTTATTGTTGCTTTCTTTGTTGAGTGGTCATTACCACTTTGGGTTGACCTCCCTGATTTCTTATTATAGCAGCGGTGCTGTCTCCTTTTGTTGTTGCCATTTATATGATTATTGAGGTGTTTGCCTACAATAAAGATCTATTTTATGTTAAATACCTCTGCCTGGCGTTCTTTTCATTCCACCTGGATCTAACTGTTACTGTCCCCCACCCTCATCGCCTAGACTTTTATGTGGGGACGTAACAACTTGGTTTACTGAAAATGATTTGCAGCTCACGAGCAGGAGGACACAGGAGACCTGCACACCTCCAGGACACTGCGGAGTGCAGCTCGGATCTCAGCTGACCCTTCTCACCCTGGATACAGTCTGTTTGACCTGCTCCCCTCAGGCAGGAGGCTCCGGTCCATTCGCACCAGAACCTCTCGCCATAAGAACAGTTTCTTCCCCTCTGCTGTTGGACACATGAACAATAAACGTACGACTGTCCCCGCCACTAACTCATGACCCTACGCTGTGTTCACTGCATGATTCCATGTTTTGGCACTGATCACCACCTGCACTCATGTATATATCTTTCTACGTAGCACTTTGAATTCTTATTCTCATGTATATATCTCATGTATATCTCATGCATATATCTTTCTACGTAGCACTTTGAATTCTTATTCTTACTTTTATTTTTTTCATGTCTATTTAAGCGCAATTTATGACAGCATGTTTGCACTGAAGCACCGCAGCAATTTCCTAATGTTGTAAACCTGCTCAACATTTGGCAATAAAACCCATTCTGATTCTGATTCTGATTCTGAGATGAGGAGGCACAAAATTGAAAATTGAGACAAGTCTTGGGAGTGGTGTCATTAAAGCTGCTGGTAGAGTGCTCAAGGCCTGCGCCGACCAGCTGGCTCCTGTGTTCACCAGAGTATTCAACCTCTCCCTGACACATGCCTCTGTCCCTCACTGCCTGAAATTGTCAACAATAGTCCCAGTCCCCAAGTCCACCACCATCAGTAGCCTCAGTGACTACAGACCCATCGCACTGACTCCAGTGGTTGCAAAGTGCTTTGAGAAGCTGGTCCTAAAACACATAAAGGACTGCCTCCCACCCAGCTTCGACCCCCACCAGTTTGCCTACAAGGCAAATAGGTCCACAGAGGATGCAATTTCCACTGCTCTCCACTCCGCTCTGCATCACCTGGAGAATCCTGGGACATCAGTAAGGATGCTCTTCATTGATTTCAGCTCAATACTATCATCCAAGACATTCTTATAGACAAGCTGGTAAACTTGGACTCCCCCCCTCCACATGTGCATGGATCAAAAACTTCCTCACAGACCGTTCACAGTCAGTCAAGGTTGGCACCCAGCAATCATCCACCCTGTCACTCAGCACTGGCTCACCACAGGGATGTGTGCTGAGTCCATTATTATACCCCATCTACACCAGCGACTGCACCCCTACGCACCCCTGCAACATCATCATCAAATTTGCAGACGACACCACTCTGATGGGGCTCATCACCAACGATGATGACACCGCCTACAGGGATGAGGTCCAGCGACTGTCAGAATGGTGTAACTACAATAACCTCACGCTAAACACCAAGAAAACCAAGGAAGTGGTCATGGACTTCCGCAAAACAAGAACTGACCCTCCTCCCCTCTCCATAAAAGGTGACTATGTGGAGAGGGTGTCCTCCTTTAAGTTCCTCGGCACCCACATATCCGAGGACCTATCCTGGTCCACAAACACATCAGCTCTAGTGAAGAAAGCCCAGCAGCGCCTCCATTTCTTGAGGGTGCTGAGATGGAACAGGCTGCAGACTGACCTCCTAGTGTCCTTCTACCGTGCCACTATAGAGAGTGTGCTGGTGCACGCCATCCCTGTGTGGTACGCTGGTTGCACAACAGCTGACAAGAAGAGACTACAGAGGGTCATCAGAACTGCAGAGAAGGTGATCGGCTGTCCACTCCCCTCCCTGGACTTAATTGCCAGCTCAAGATGTCTCTCCAGAGCCAGGGCAATTATAAAGGACCACCTCCATCCTAACCACCACCTCTTCAACATCCTGCCCTCTGGAAAAAGGCTCAGATCCATCAGGTGCAAAACCAACAGACTAAAGAACAACTTCTTCTCGTGGGCTGTCAGAACTCTTAATGCAAACTAAGAGTGTGTAAAGACTTCCCCAACACATCCACCCTGACACTGCTGTTGATCATCTATGTGCAATATCTCAGTCTTTCCATGTTCTGTGCAATATTTTTGGCTTATGTGCAATTATTTTGGTCCCAGTCTGTTTCAATGTTTCCTACACATACACCATGTATATAGTTCCACTCACATATGTATACATATACACTGTTTTTTATTTTATTCTATTTATTTAATTATTTATTTATTTTCCGCCTTCGTTGTATATTGGTTTCTCTTCTTACTTTAGCACCTTTGTGGTTCAGCTACCCAATTTCGCTGTGCAAGAAACTGCACAATGACAATAAAAAGCTCTAAGTCTAAGTTTCTAAGTCTCTAACAGGTGACTGTGCAAATACTGGAAAACTGAGGACCTCTGGCGGACAAAAGGAATAATACACAAAAAAGTGCTCAGACATAAACTGTGAGAGTTTAAAATTTGTTCTGCAAAAATAGAATTTCACCAAATTAATAGAAATGCATATTTTCCAGATTACATTACTATAAAAAAGAATATTCAAGATATTGATTCAGATTCTATTTAATCATCATGAAAGACATGTTATAAAACTCATACTGGACTTTTGACACTGCACATATTTCACTTACACAAACTATAAAGGCATTAAAGGCATTTAACAACAGTCATATTATAAGAGAGGATTAAGACTTGAATACACATCTTCTATCAGATTAAAATAACAACAGCGTGAAACACAAAAACTATTAACATTGCTTTAAAGTTCTCATCTAGTTTATATTTACCTATAAAACCAGATGAGATGACATTGATAATATAACAGCAGTTTTCTCTGCTGAGTTGATGTTGCTGATCAGTGGCTGGACGACAAAAACAAAACATAATCAGAATCAGAAAAATGTATTAATCCCTAAAGAAATGATGTGGTTACACAATGATAATAACATCATAAATGTTGCTTTGGCTCATTGACCTCAGGTATTTGAATTTCTCCACCTATATTACCTCTACTCCCTGCAGCATCTCTGTTAAACCTGTCTCCCTCTCATTCACACAACTTCTCTCCAGAACACTCCTCCACCGCTACAGGCCGTCTTTCACCTGTTTCTTAATGTTGTCCACAAACATAATAGACCAGAGACTCCTGCCTGACCTCAACTGTCAACCTACCCATCATCATAAAAATGAGAACAAAATAAAGAGCATAGATTCCTTTCAATACTTTGGATTTCTTTTCTTTTGACAGAGGAAAAATTCAAAATAAGATGAACAGTAAAAACAGGTAATAAATAATAAAAATAGAAGCTAAGGAAGATCTTCAGAACACAAATTTGAAACTCAAATACAACTCAAAACTCTAGGACCATGGCACTGAATCCTGTGTGCTGTTCAATAGTCTAGCAATAGCAATAGTTTTAGTTGTATGTTTTCTATCCAGCCTTCTCTTAGAGCAACTGCTCATATCCATAGCAAAGAACTCCTGGTACCAATTATATTTTCATTTAAAAAAAGGAAAAATAAGTGTATTATAATGTAGCTGGGCACTCTCCCAAAAACTGGTGTTTCTTTAAATCTGTTGGACCCATAAACAATATTCAAGAATTGTCTTTCCATTAAATGCAAATTCTTTTTTTCAACAGCTTGAACTATGTTATTTTAAAATTGACAGTAGAGCAGAAGTCACTGCATCATTTCATCATCAACACGAACCTGAAAAAAGCTGTCTGATATATAGATAAAATAATAACAAACAAACAAACATATCACTAAACAAAACACCTTATCTTGGTTTTCTAGGTGTTGCTGATGGTGACATAGGAAACTTCAGGATCCACCTAAACAATGAAGAGAAAAACATGCTGACTCCTCAGTAATATCCATCCATCCACTTATCCTTTTAGTGTCGCGGGGGTGCTGGAGCCTATCCCAGCTGTCATAAGGCGAGAGGTGGGGTTCACCCTGGACAGGTCGCCAGTCTGTCGCAGGGCCAACACACAGAGACAGACAACCATTCGCGCTCACATTCACTCTGCATTCACACCTATGGGCAATTTAGATTTTTCAATTGACCTATACCTTTAGAAGTGCTTGTATGAATGGGTGAATGAGGCATGTGTTTAAATGGCCTGCATTTGTATAGCGCTTTTCTAGTCCCTAAGGACCCCAAAGCGCTTCACACTACATTCAGTCATTCACCCATTCACACACACATTCACACACTGGCGATGGCAAGCTACATTGTAGCCACAGCTGCCCTGGGGCGCACTGACAGAGGCGAGGCTGCCGGACACTGGCGCCACCGGGCCCTCTGACCACCACCAGTAGGCAAACATGGGGTTAGTATCTTGCCCAAGGATATTTGGCATGCAGCCAGGAGGCAGCCTGGGATTGAACCACCGTCCTTCTGATTAGTGGCTGACCTGCTCTGCCACCTGAGCTACAGCCACCCCTACAGTGCCCCTACAGTAGTCAAAGCACTGGGAGAGTAGAAAATTGCTATATAAGAATCAGTCCATTTACCAATAAAAAAAACACTGCAAAACACACAAAACAAAATAGAAATAAGAAAAATGGTAACAGACATAGGAAAAAAAACGTAAATAGGAAAACGAAAACAGAAATAGGAAAAAACAGATTTCCAAAGCAAAGGGAAGTGTTTCTGGGGAGACAATAACCCGACGGACCAGTTGCAGGGACGCAAAACATGCTAGGTGTGTTTTATCATGATTCATATAATACTGATGATGGATTTTTAGGCTAATAGTTAGGCTAACACATATACCACTCATCTTTTCTTTCCTCACAAAACGATAAATCCTCCACTTCTTTTAAGTGTCTCCCAGCGCAATTCTTAGCATATTTTGGTTCCTGCAACTGGTCCGTCGGTTATTGTCTCCCAGAAACACGTTGTGCTTTTGGAAATCTTTTTTTTCCTATTTCCGCTGTCGTTTTTCCTCTTTTCGTTGTGTTTTGTGTGCTTTTGCAGCATTTTTCTTATTGCTGGTGTTGTCTTAAGTTGCAGTGGCCTCTCAGGGCCACCGTACAACTGAGTTCCTAGTCTCCACTATGGCCTAATTCCTCATGTGTATTTAAAGCCCCAGTTTGCTTCTGTTCTTTGTTATGTTCTATGTTCCTTAGAGGCTAGTTTGTGACTTCCAGATTTAGTGTTGCCTGATTATTTGTGTTTTGCATTTTGGCCTGCTAAGGTCAGCAATAAAGCTGCTTTTTAAGTTTAACATGGATTTGAGTTCTGCACTTGGATCCTACTTTGCCAACAGCTATCCTTGAAAATATGTCTCACTGTAATGCAACATAAACAACTCTTCATTCATCACTTTAATTTCTCAGAAATGGTGTCTCAAGATATTGCATTTGTGTTTTGACCTCTTACTTCAGGTTTTACGATTCATGGTGTGGTCTACTGATTTTATTTTGGCCTAACTTTCTTATCTTTGGATGCTTTTTCAGTTAGTGTCATGCATTTACAATTTTTTAGAGAATAAGAAGAAGTGTTTTTAACTCTAGGTGTAGTGGGTGATCTCACCGAGTTCTGATTGGTTTGAGTCTCTGCAGGGTTTGAACTCAGTCCCTGAAAACAGACAATAGTGCGGTTACATCTGGTGGAAAAGCATTTCTATGAAGGCAGTTTAGTCTTGTTAACACTCCCTCAAAGATGAGCGGTTTATTTAATTGTCTTTTAGTGGCAGATATAGGAATATTTAATATATGTTTCAAAACTCACAGGATTTTCATTCTTCTGCATTTTGTTTCTGGAAAGACAAAAACAGTCAACTCTAACATTCATAGAACAACTTACAAATGTTGTATCTGTAAATGTTCTCACCTTTCATTCTTTCCTTATGATGAGACACACAGCTGTTATCAGCAGTGCGACCAAACCAATAGCTCCATTGATGTACCACGAAATAGCTGCGATAAAGCAGACAAAACAAATTTGAAACATTTTGCATGTTAATGTTTGAAAAACGTTCACACCATTTAACAGCCATGATACTCAAGTGAACAATGTTTCCTGCCAAAACCACACCATCATATCAAATGTTACATCTTATGTTCCTATAGGATAGGTAAGTGATTTTCTGTCATCAAAATGTAAATAATATTCATTAGGAAAAAGATGTAAACTAAAGTATGAACTCTCCTTAAAACTCTAAAAGAAAACGTGTTTTCCTGCTTAATCATCATAATCTACGTGATTTTAAGGATTGCTGATTGTTTGGTTCTGATTTTGTGCTGCTTTCAGTTTTCCGCTGGTTCCTTTGTTGTGTTTGCTTCAGCTGAATAAATGACAAAACAAACCAAAAAGTGTGTCATTATTTCACAAGTTGTTAATGAAAAAAAGATCTTAAAAATGTAAATCTATCAAACTAATATTTGAGGTCATCTTAAACAGTTGATCGTGAGCTCACCTGTTTCCTCACCTGAGGGCTGAGGGCTGAAGGTAAATGGCTGCACTCTTCCTGTGTCTGTATCAGTCACCTCACACTTCACTGTGTTGTATCCTGCTCAGTAAATAGGGTAATACTTTATAACAGAGAGAGAACATTTCACCTCAATAATCAATCTGTCTGGTTTAGTTGTGGCCTTTTCACCGATCTGTCGAAGGTTGATCAGCTGTGCTGTTAGTTTCTTGAAATAAAAAACATTTAGTACCATCACAGTTATTCTGGTCATCACATTTAGACGAGGCTGAATGACGTCATCAACAATCTTCATTGAAGAAAACCAATAAAAAAACATTAGAATACAGCACTTTTTACAATAAAGTGAAATCAATTTAGAAACAACTTTATAACATGCTTCCTGAAACAGCAGATCATGCTCAGCTGTCTTATTCATGTTATGGTAAGTGATTGTAATAATATTGATACGATTATTATTTCACTGCTATAAAAATGTTTCCTCTATCCTTACCTACAATCTGAATCATCAGCATCAGACATAAAACATTTGAATCCATCTGAATTCATCCATTCTGCTTCTCTGTCTCACTTCGTTCTTGTTCTCAGTCTCAACTGTCACAGTCTCTGAACTGATGACCCTTCAGGACGGTTTGTACTTCCTGTCATTTGTCATGTTTCACCACAAATTTAGCAATTTTTAGTCGTCTCTCATTTATGTTGATGATAATGTTACACAGCTGGAGTAAATCAGCTTTTCTGAAACATTTTTCTAAAGGAAATTATATGAAGATTGGCAGGTTCATATTTTGTCATTCTCACAGTTGATTGTGACATTGATGTGTTTGACATTGAAAAAAAATAATGAATAAAGAAGTCGAATGTGAGATATTTTTGGAATAATGCAGCTCCCCTTTTTAAATATTTTAAATCAGAAGGTGCATGACAGTTAATGTGTCAGACTCAATGAATTGATGAATTGATTTTACAACTGCAGGTACAGGAAATATAGCAGATAATGCTATTGGAGTGAAACCCAACAGTTCCTCACCGTTAATCTTAAGTAATTTCCCCTGATGAGGTCGAGAGGAAGTGTGTTCGTTACAATGTGGTGTGCTCATTTTACTGTTTTTTAAGAATCTGCTGTTACAAGTGAAAATCTAAAAAAATTAAGGGAAGGTAAGGCCCCCAAATGTTTTGGGTTCGTAGCGACACTCTTGGTTCTGACAGAAAACGGTAAGTGGTGAGAATAGAGGCTGTGGTTCAGGGTTATCAGCAGTAGCATTTAACAATAATCTGTGAAATTGGTAAATAAGTATGCTCATTAATATGTTATATATAATATATTAATATGCTCATCAATATGCTCTAGTGTTTAAAACCCTAGAGTTCAGCAAATTAAATTCAACAAATATATCACGAACACCTTATTTGTGATAACCAGTGTTTCAGTCACAGGCCTGTCGGTATTATTCAAGTTACACAGTGGATTTTTTTCTTTTGGCTAAATACAAAATAAGAACAGTAAAAACAGGACACCCAAAATCAAAATCCAGCTTGACGCAAGGAAGATAAGATTAGTTAGGGAAACTATCACAGCAAAGGCAGTAAACTAAAAAGGCAAAGGAAGACAAGACACAAATTGGAGGCAGAAACCGGTGAAGGTAAATACACCCAGCTCAAGCAATCACGGCAGAGTTGGCAAAGGTGTTAGTAAAGCTACCAAGAAATGAAAGAAAACTAACCAAAATAAAATAGAAATGAAAAAAGACAAATAAATCTAGAGACCAGACAAACACCTAATGAGCCAGGCATTCATTTAGAGCAAAACTAGTTGTGGGCAGATAACAAATGAATAGAAAAACATTTTATCTCCAGATGACATTATTGTAAGCAATAAGAAGGAAGAAACTGATACAGATTTAATGGTATTTAACGGTCAATAAACTCATGCTACAAAACCCATAACGGTCATTTAGAAATCTAAAACAAACAAAAGCCGAGCGCTACCCCCAACTCGCTAATTGAATAAACAAGGGAAAAAAATGATAGAAAATAATAAGGCAGTTCTCTCTTTCTGCTTCAGTGCTTAGTTAAAAGTCAAAGTATCAACACACTAAATACAAAATTGGCATTCTCTGAAATCACACACCCAGATCTGTCATAGATGGTTTGGAGGCCAAGGACGGGCCTGCTGCTGCTGTCAGCTACTGCTGGGGAGACTGCTGGAGAGGATTTTTAAAACAGCCACTTGATGATGGAACCAATCAGCACTGCCAGCAAAATCCAGCCACTGTGATTCAAAAGATGGCCAGAGCCGTAACAATAGGATTAAATCTATTAAACTAGATAAGATTATACTGATAATACAACAGCAGTTTTTTTCTGCTGAGCTGATGTTGTGGATCAGTGGTATCTGACAGAAACACCAGAGCCTCCAGTGCTTTCATACTTATTGAAACATCATCTTATCATAATGTACCTGTGAAAAACAAGCAAAAAACCCAAAACCAAATGTATCAGATTGTGAGACAAATAAATTGGCATTGTGTTTATTATTACTGTGGTTTCAGTTATATTCTTTCCATTAGTTCTTAGTTTCTTTTCTTTTGTGTTTTGAGTGTTAGGTTGAAATTGTTAAATGTTACCATTATGTACTGCCAAGGTCTCCCTTCCATCCATCCATCCATCCGTTCGCTTCCACTTATCCTTCTTAGGGTCGCGGGGGTGCTGGAGCCTCTCCCAGCTGTCATAGGGCGAGAGGCGGGGTACACCCTGGACAGGTCGCCAGTCTGTCGCAGGGCCAACACACAAAGACATCATTCGTGCTCACATTCACACCTATGGCACTTTGGATTAATCAATTAACCTATCCCCACAAGCTGACAGAGGCGAGGCTGCCGGACACTGGCGCCACCGGGCCCTCTGACCACCACCAGTAGGCAACAGGTGAAGTGTCTTGCCCAAGGACACAACGACCGAGACTGTCGGAGCCGGGGCTCAAACCGGCAACCTTCCGATTACAAGACAAACTGCCAACTCTTGAGCCACGATCGCCCCAAAATTATAAACACAACAAAAGCTATTTTGCCCAAACACCTGAAATACATCTAATTAATATTTTAGCTATTTTTAGTTGTTTTAAACAGCTGATCGTGAGCTCACCTGTTTCCTCATCTGAGGTCTGACAGCTAAAGGTAAACAGCTGCACACTTCCTGTGTTAGCATCAGTCACGTCACACTTCATTTTCTCATATCTTGATGGATAATATAGTGAGACTTCCAACGGGTCACAGTAGTGGAGCAGTCAGTCTGTGAGGTCAGTATTTCTTGTCATCTTTGTTCATATCTTGACGTTTAATCAGCCAATTCACGGTGTGATGACACTGTCATATGTCACCACAGAGCAGTTTACAGTTTTTCTCAGTTGCTTTGGTGCATTTCTCACAACAGAATTGATCTCTGCACCACTACTAAGGCTCTTCTCAAAACAATTGGTGCAAACTGCAAAACATGGTGGATAACTCGCAAAAGTGAGTCACCTCATCAAAAGAAAAGTCAGTTGCTCAAATAAGTAGTCAATGCTTCAAAAGCAAGTCCCTTAATCAAAACAGATAATATATTCATCAAAAGCAAGTACTTATATCAAAGTGTCAGGGCTGTCACAATTACAAGTCATTACACCAGCACCTTTGGTCACAAATCAAATGTTGAACAGGTTCTCATTGTGACGGATTTCTTTGTAGGTGCTTCCCAATGACTAATAATAAAAAGATTAACCTGAGACAGATGAACCAGAGCGTTTAGAGTTTGTATTTCTCCTAATTTGTACTGTAGCATGAATAAAGACCAACTTCCTCAAATGTGAGCTTCTTAATAACCAGAGAACAGTTCGCTGTAACACTCAGTCTGTCTGATTTGACTTTGTCTGTCCAAGTGTGATCAGCTCTACTGTTGTTTGTGTCTTGAAACAAATGTCCACTCAGTACTGTCACAGTTATCTGCTCATCTATCACATTTAGACAAGGCAGAGTGACGTCATCTCCAACTTTCATAAAAATGGATATTTCAGTTTCAGATACTGTTGAGAAGATTGATGAGAAATATGAAAGATAAATTAGAATGCAGCATTTTACAATCAGAGCGAAGATTTTAGACTCGGGTCTGTAAACATGTCCATATTTCCCTAAAACAACAGTACATGCTCAGCTTTCTTATTTACTGTAAAGTTTATTGACCATAGTAATACTGATAATATTTAGTTTTGTTGCTAATAAAATGTTTCCTGTATCCTTACCTGGAATCAGAATCATCAGCATCAGAGATAAAAACATTTGAATCCATCT